AGACAGGGTCGTCCCAATATGCGTTTTTGCAATTTGCATATAGGCAAAAACGCATAAAAATGAATATTTTTTAATAAATCAGTACATAAGTGCACATTTGCATCTTCAGTTTCACTGTGGGAAGTTTCTCTTTGGTTCTTTGATTGAGTAACCCGTAAAAAATTTCTTTAAAGATGTTTTATGAATAAGTAGCCTCAACTATCGCTTTGGATCCAGATGCAAAAGTTCAGAAAAGTGCTTACCTGAACTATTGTTACTGCCTTCACTGTTTGGAGGACTTGACGAAAAGCTCGACAAAATGTCCGTTTCAGTTTGTGAATCGAATGACTCGAATGGTGAAACAAGTGAATCGGACCCAGTCGAATCACTGGAAAGCATTTCTGCAGAGCTAAATGCTGCTCGTGATGATGTACTCCGTTGTAAATCAACTTCAACGCCTGAAAAACAAAACAGCGGACGAAATGGGAGAAATGGAATGTACTGAATTCAATAACTCCTTGTCCCTTCTTTAAAAATAGCCGGGGCGTTGAAATGGAAATAAAGTGGAACAAATTGTATAGATTTTTAGGTGGGATGAAGGTACAATGAGGCATTCGGATTAATTTCAGGTTGATCTTGTAAAATGTCACTTGAAAATTGAGTTTGAAACGCGCCATTTTGGAATTATATAAACCTACAGCTGGATCTGATTTTCCAGGTAAGGACGAGCTAAGATTGAAAAACTGATTTTAGATTATTCACTGTGCACTGTCTGGTGAGTTGACTTTTAAAAACTGTTTTCTAGCAGGTTTATTCGCCTTCAAGATATGAATAATTCTGGGGTGGCACGTTAACACAGAAATGAGGGTAAAAATAGAAATGCACTTTAATTTTCAGTTCTTTCGCCAGAACAAGGTCAGATTTACTCTCAAACACAACAAATCATAAATCCAAAATTCAGTGAAAGAAAAAACGAACCTTCATCAATGGAACTAAATATACCGACAGTGGACTGTCGACTCAGTGCCGGTGATGAATCTTCGAAGTCGCTTTGAACACAGGAAGCTGTAGCGGCGCTAGCGCAATCAGTGGTCTGGAACGAGGCATGGTACCGCAGTGATTTCAGCGGTGGTCGACTGTGAGGTGTTTCGCTCTGGCGACGTGCTGCTCCGCGCGGATCCATGCATGCTGATGAAGAT